AGCTTGTTTATTTATAATCTCTAGTGATTAGTGAGAAATAAAAAATAGTAGTGAAAACTATGCAACGTTAGGGGGGCCAGGCCCTGCCCGCCCCCTCTTGTCTCCGCCCCTGCTTCTTGGCCACGTGAGCCCACGGGATCCATCAGCCGACAGGAGGATCAGATCCGATCGACGCAGTGCAAATAAAAGCGTAGTATGGCACGGCGCTGGCGAGATAACGATAACAAGTGCGTCCGTCCGTACCCACACCCACCAAATCAAAGGGTGGGGGCCCTACTAGAATACTCCTACCATACAATACATAGCATGTATAATAAATAAACAAATACGTATACACGTATATAGTACTCTTCTTATTATATTAGAATTACTAGTAAATATGCTCGTGCGTTGCAACGGGAGAAAAAAAATTTATTAAACATTCATGCAAAACGATAACGTACGTGAATGGTACGTATCTATTTTATGCTTTTATAATTTATTTTATGATGACGGTCTCATCCATAATATAAGTTAATGCTGAGAATAAATAACAATGTCCTATTAAACTTGTATCGAATTGAAATACACCTTGACATATTTTTTCTTCCATTATAAAGCGCATAATTATTTAGATATAAATATACAATAACTTTACTTTTTCATATTAACCATGTGTTCCTCTGACTCAATATTGACCTTTGTGGCTTTTTAACGTATCATATCAACCTCCGTAACTTTTTTCGATATGTCAAGGATTGGTCTGTCCGTCAATGATTATGACGAGAGACCTCTCTTGATTTTTCACACGACAGCCCTCGTTAGGAATTACATAAATACATTTATTTAGATTTCATTACACAATAATCTGCCCAAGATTTCAGTTCATAAAATAATTAGGTGTACCATTGACTAATTCATATTTAATAAAAATAAGTTTTATTTCTAATCAAAACTACATCATATGGTGTAAATCTATCTTCTTAAAACTTAATGCACAAACAAACAGTGCTAAAAAGTAAGTGTTATGTACCAGGGCTTGCCTTAGGCAGGAACCGGATAGTGGAAAGTTAGTGAAGGTTTCGAGAACACCGACGACGAGGACATCCTCCTCGTGCTCCTCGGCCACCTCCACGTATTCCGGGTTTGCTTCTAGCACATTCTCGATCATCGTCAAACCTATATGCATGCAACATATGAAGGAATGATTTGACGCACATATAGGCAAAGCATAACTTAACAAGATTCATAACATCTATGAATAAATCATATTTTTATGAAGCTAACAACACTGGTTTGGCATTTTCTATTTTTTCTATAATTTTTTTTGAATTTTGCAAAATCTCTGTTTTTATAGAAAAAGGGAAAACGATAGAAAATAAAAAAAGGCTTGTATGAGCTTGGTCCATCCCACAACGAAGCCGACCCAACATGAATGATTCAGTTTAGGTAAAAAAAAAAGCTCACCAGGAGAGGCTCACTCGGTTCTAGATATTTTGCATCAAGAACCCTAATATATTTTAAAAACTATTAATGTCCTCACACCTTTTCTTTCTCTTTGGCATCTTTACATCTGAAACCCTGAATTTCTATCTATTCTCTTCCCGCTCCTGATCTTGGTCGGTTAAGGCAAATAGATAGGCACACAGATGAGCATACCGAGGCTGAGCACGAGACCGAGCTAGATTTGGGGTTGAACGAAAAAATAAGCGAGACAAAAAAAAACTACAGTAGAAATTTTACCTCTTTATTACTATGTGTATAGATTCAGCCGTTGCCCTTTTGCTATGGATGTATCAGAAAAGTGGCGAAGGAGGAAGGATGCGCACACATCACCGCTCGTCTAGTGCTACCTCGCAGGGAGTCAGCGTCAGAGTGGTCGTTCCTGACAAGGACCAGAGATTCATATTCCTCCATCTCGATGGATGATTCATGATTGCATCTGGTATGCTGCATCCATCCTACCCGTTTTGGGCGTAGTCTATCCGCTGCTGGAAATTGCCCCCAATTACAAGGCTTTTTATAGTCAATTTAACATGATCTTACCACACACTACTAGTAGTATTGTTCTAGCAGTGGTGAGTAGGAGTGTGTTCCGTGCTGAAAACACTCTGAAAGTTGCACTCGGCCTGACGCAGTACTGTGATCAAGTTGCTCTCGGCTTGGCCATGGGCTTTGCCGTGCCTTGCACAAATTCCCTTCCTCCTGCCGTCCCCAAACTGAGGTCTCACAAGGAGCACAAATCCCAATCGATGTCCCCAAACCTCCTTTTTTTTTTATAATTTAACCTTTTTTTTTAAAAAAAATATTCACATTCATCTCTAGATGACCTCAATCAGACTTTGAACCCTTTTTTCAGAGCTGTGACTTATGGCGCCGAGGCAACACGTCTCGGCGCCATAGGTCAAGGTTGAAGGTCCGAAATGACGTGGCTGACGATGTAGCGTTGACGTGGCCATAGCTCATCGCCACGATTCACGGCGCCGAGCTGGGCGCCGTAAGTCATGGCGCCGAGCTAGCAGCCAGTGCATGGTGACCTGTGTGCCAGTGAAGCCACCAGTTGCTGCACGCACCCCAACAGAGAGCAGAGAGAACTGTTGTTGCACGCGTATCCACGGGAGAGAGGCAGAGAGACCAGACGCCCAGCTGCTGCACGCGCCACAGGGAGAGTAGAGAAGACCGCGTATCCACGGGGACAGAGGCAGAGAGACCAGCGCAGGAGTGGGGAGTGCACGCACGGGCGTCAGAATCTAGATGGAACGGTGGTAAACGTAACTCCTTTTCATTAAGAAAGAATTTTCAGATCACCATAGTTATTAAAACATATATTTAATTTATAATCTGATTGAACCTCTGTTCTCTTTATAATTCTCAGTCTGTTCGCGGTTGATTTCTAAACTGATAAGTCCGACTGGTGCTGGTTTGTTGTGAAAGAAAAACACTGTACTATGGCTAGTAAGCCTTGGCTGAAACCAACAAACGAACATGCTATCTATCTACAAATCAAGACCAATATTGACTATATTTTATAAAAAGAAATTTACCAAAATGTGGGTCCCACCTATCATGTTCACATTTAAGCTTAGAGCATAACATGTACGTATTAATAATATACCGATTCTGTAACTGCATATGTATTTTGATCTGCTCGTTTCGTTTGGAGAGTCGCAAAATCTGCATGCAGCGGCCGGTGCGGGAACGCCTTTTGCGCCTGAATGGCTTTGCATGCAGCCATGCAGGGAGGGGGTTGAGCAGTTTAGCGCTGAGTAAGCAGAGTAAATTATTGGGACATCTAAACGAGAAGACTTAACTCACAATTAATCTCTTCTTGGTCTGTGCACCTAATTTTTTATAAATTTAGTTGATTTTATAAAGAATTGATTTGATTTAAATATAGACCTCATTTTAAAATGAAGGGGTAGCTAAAACAAGGAGAAAAAATATGTAGAATAATTGTGTAACACAAGTATGTTTATTGTAAATGTTGAGAATTATTATTTATGATCAATTAGGGAATAATCCTAAGAGATGTCTTTTCACCCCTTTCTATCTTTTGCACTTGTAAGTGTCTATATGGACTCTGTATATATATGTACAACACTGTTCAATGGAATACAAATACACCATTTTGCATCGATTGATCTATCTCGCTCTCTCTATTCTTAACAGTAAATAATACTCACTCCGTTCTAATTTTAGAGGCACATAAGAAATTTTCACAAAGACCAAGAAATTTTAACCCTCTTGATCCCATTTATTATTGGCCAAAACATGCTTTGTTTTCTCGCTCCATGTTTTTGGGAAGTAAAAGAGTCGAGTGCATGCAGTTGAAAATTTTAATGTGTGTGGCAGCGTATGCGTACAGTGCAGCTTGCGCTGTCCGTGCCTCCTGCTCTCTCTTGTGCATACGCATGTAGTAACATGACTCCTGTGCCTCCTGCTCTCTCTTCCATAAAAAGCGTGCAGCAAAAGGTCTCCTTGTGCCTCTCTCTCTCTCTCCATTGGGGCGCGTGCACATAGGTCACATGTCTCTATGCGCCTCTCCTCTCTGTTGGGGCGCGTGCAACAGCAGGGTCAGTAGCTCGGCGCCATGACTTATGGTTGTGAGCTCGGCACCAGGAATCGTGGCGTTGAGCTATGGCCACGTCAGCGCCACATCGTCGGCCATGTCATTCCGAACCTCCTACCTCGGCGCCGTGACCTATGGCGCCGAGACGTGTTACTTCGGCGCCATAAGTCACGACACCGAGAAAATGGTCTAAAATCTGGTTTACGTCGTCCATATGGGTAAATGTGAATATTTTTCAAAAAAAGGGTAAGACCTTGTTTAGATCCAGCATGTAAAGTTTTGGGGTGTCACATGGGGTGTCGCATGGGGTGTTCGGATACTAATAAAAAAACAAATTATAGAATCCGTCAGTAAACCACGAGACAAATTTATTAAGTCTAATTAAGCCGTCATTAGCACACGTGTTACTGTAGCACTTTATTGTCAAATTATGGACTAATTAGACTTACAAGATTCATCTCGTAAACTAGTCGTAAACTGTGCAACTAATTATTTTTTAGTCTATATTTAATATTTCATGCATGTGTCTAAACATTCGATGTGACATGTGTCTAAACAAGGGCAAATGCAAAAAAATTGGGCCCAAACCTCAAGGTGAATCATCAATCTACTGTCATACAATAATCCGGGCATGATGGCTCTGACTGGGCTCCTGCACACGCTGCACAAGTATCGGTCCACTGACAGCGACGCCATGGAATTCCATGGCAGTAGTTCTGCCTTGACCAATGCCACGTTCACACACACTACTACCAGGAGTACACAACCATCTTTTCATCAAAAGATAAAAAATACCAATACACAATACGAGAGGATCCCAAGAAATGGACGCGAAAAGTCTCGGTACGAAGCGTAGTCCACACAGCAAACCCGCGCGCGAAATATCTGAAATCTGGCAGTGACAGGCTCAGACCGTGAGCTGCCTGCCAAGAACCGGAGGCAGCTAGGGAGGCTAGGCGGTGGCCTGGGAACCGTCGGCGCCGTGCACGTCGCCCGTGGCGTTGGCGGCCCGGACCCGGACGCCGTCGTCCGGCAGGTTGGTCACCCTGACGACGAGCGGCGTACGGACGCGGTGGAAGCCGTCGGACCACACCACCTCGCCGAAGTCGAACCGGCCGCGGGACAGCTTCGCGGGGGTGACGGTCAGGTAGTAGGAGGCCTGTTCGCCGCCACCGTGGCGAGAGGAGAAGGCCAGCTCCCGCGGCCACACCTCGGCGCGCGCGCCCTGCGGGCTGGCCACGGAGACGCGGTACACGGCGTCCCGGTTCGCGCCCACGTTGGTCACCGTCCGCTTCACCGTCACCGTGCCGCCCAGGTCCGGTAGCACGATGGCCGGGTAGTTGAGGTCCGCGTGGGCCGCCGCCGCCGCGCCGCCGGAAGGGCAGCTCGTGTCGAGCGCCGGGCAAGGGAGCACCATGTTCCGGATCGCGGACTCCGTGTAGCCCAGGCTGCAGAGGAACATCACGTGGTCGCGCGCGCCCGCGTCGTAGACCAGCCCGGGGTCCAGCGCGCGCAGCGGGTCCACGTGCCCCGCGCCCACGTCGAAGGCGTCCGCCGCCTTCACCGTCCCGCCGGCCTGCATCACGTCCGACGTGTCGTCGTACATGTACGCTGCAAAGACGGCATTACAAAGACGGGAAATTCCTGATCGATGCAAAGCTTACTTTCCGTAATTACTACTTACAGTTATTAGTGCTAGCTAGGACACCGGCCTGTAGAAACTACTGTACCTGTGGTCATGAGGGCGGACTTGACGGCCGCCGGCGACCAGGTCGGGTGCACGGACTTGATGACCGCGGCGATGCCGGAGACGTGCGGGCACGACATGGACGTGCCGGAGTCGAAGTTCCACTCCGTCGAGCGCTTGTCCAGGGGGATTACCGTCGGCGACGACTTGGGCGGCCATGCTGCCAGTATGTTCACTCCGGGGGCGGTCACGTCGGGCTACCATGATCAGGACGCACCACACAAGCGTAAGAATCCTCACGACTAACCTACCTGCAATGGGCTGAGCCCATTGCCGACACCCGGACCGGGCCACATTTGCTCAGGTACGGTGCTGTTCATTTGCGGCTAACGGGTACCTTGAGGATCTTTGGAGAGACGGAGCTCGGCCCTCTGGAAGAGAAGTACGCCACGGCGGGCGCCGGCGTTTCGCCGACGACCGTCTTGCTCGGAGATATGTGAACCGTCGGATTGCTGTGACCGCAGGGGTTGTGCTCGGTTAGAAAGCGGGTTTGCTTGGTCCATGATTGAGTTGATGAGTTCTTCACCCACGCACCTGGAGTCGAGGATGTAGTAGAGGATCTGAGTGCCCTGGTACAGGTCCACGTGGACCGTCGGCCAGAAGCTGTCCTGGCTCGATTTCCGGCTTAGGGTGTCGGCGAAGATCACGCCGGCGCCCTTCCCGGCATACACTGCCAGCGCCGCGCCGTCGCTGGACACCGTTCCCATCGTGGCGAAGCACAGCACGATCTTCCCTGATGCCGCTGTGCGGTTGATCAGCTGATCGAATGTGCACGTCCTTCGTCCACAAAATGCAGAAAAAAAGATGGTGAGATGGGAGCAGGCTATCAGAGAGTGTGAGAGAGATCACAGATTACCCATCGGCGAAGACGCTGCTGCTATCTACCAGATCATTCTTCATGGCTTTCACAATGAAGCTCTCCCCCTGCGCAACCATGTAGGCCAAGCACGCTATATGATCAATCCATCATGCACATGAAATTACGGATTACGCCGCACGAGTACGTACGTAGGAGCAGAAAGAAACCCCACCACGATGGAGGCGTTGTTCCCGAGCGTGATCACCGTCGGGAACCTCCTGTCGATGGTGCTGGCGGCGACGGTGAGCCCCCACGGCGACACGTTCTGCACCATGGAGGCGTCCGGCCCGTCGTTCCCGGCCGAGAACACCGACACGACGCCGCGCTGCATCGCGTGGAACGCCCCGATCTCGGTGCTCGTCGACAGCAGCGGCATGAGCGGCGGCGGCGACCCCAGGGACGCCGACACCACGTGCACGCCGTCGCACAGTGCCTCGTCGAACGCGGCCAGGATGTCGGCGTCGCTGCACCGGCCCGTCAGGTCCTTGTACCAGCACACCTTGTACACCGCGAGCCGCGCCCTGGGCGCGTCCCCCGCGGGCGGCGCCGTGGCCGAGGCCGAAGTAGCTGGCGTTGGGCGCCACGCTCCCCACGGCCGTGGACGCCGTGTGCGTGCCGTGCCCGACGCGGTCGCGCGGCGACCGGTACTCCGACCCGTCGCTGGTGTTCAGCGGGCCCAGCTCGCTCTCGAAGCCTTTCAGGTAGTAGCGCGCGCCGATGAGCTTGCGGTTGCACGCGGTGGCCGGATCGAACTCGTCGCCTTTCACGCACGTGCCCTTCCATGACGATGGGATGGGGCCGTAGTGGGGGTCATCCCTGAAGCTCTCGGATTCAGGCCACACTCCTGAGGGCACATGAAAAGCTCAAATGTTTCTCAAAGCATCCAAGTGGAATGTCAAGGACCACACTTTGCAACAACTAACACGAATGAGTGCTACAAAAATATGAATTTCATCTTTGCACAGGTCATGCTGTGCTGGGATCATACTAATCATTCTATCTTTCATGTCAAGGTTGCTCAATTCTATGGAGGTGTGAGAGGGATCGCCACTCAATTATCTAATTTATCTCCAGCAACTTTCTGGATGAATATTTGGAAACCATTTTTTCCAGGTTGTTATCAACAAAGTGCAGGAAAAAAAATGATTTCGTGTTTCTATAGGAAAATAAAACCCTGCAAATACAGGATTGGCAGCGATGCAGGGGCATGAATAAATACCAGTATCAAGGACGCCGACGATCACATCATCTCCAAATTTCAAATGCCTTTGCGATGGTTGTTCCATCTGCATGTGCAGGCGGAGGCCCATGAAATCCCAGCTCCTTGTTGTATGGATCTCCAGCATCCGACTCCTGAATACTGATACGACCCCTTGAGTTCCTGCTTTGTGATGATCATGAGCTTTCTTGCAAGTGCACGTCAACAGTGAACTGTGCATTACGAGGTAGATGCATGTATGTTCTGACAAATAACTCCTTACCAGACAATGTGGCAGCCTGTGTTGAATTGAGCAATGCAGCAAAACCAGAGAATCCACAGCTGTAGCTGTACAGAATAGCCTCCCTTGCTTCATCTGGCCTGAAATGTCGAGTGCATAAGTGTCTTTAATAAAAAAAATACCAATCAGACTACGTGTGTCTAAATTAAATGAGGTGATGATCATAATAGTCTAAAGCAGTAAACAAATGTAACGGTCACGATAAAATTTGCAGAAATAGCTTAACTTGCATTATTCTTTTATATTTTATTGATTGAAGTGTTTGTTTATCCAGCAACACATCAGTATATTGACTGAGGAAAATTATAGATTAGAACTGTTTAACAAAGTATGAAGTTTATGCACAACGTCTATATTAAATCAAATTTACTAGAAGCTCCACATGTATTTTGGTAGTTCCCTTAATTTGTACACCAACTACAGCAGGAGAAAAGAGAAACAATTACTTTGTAAAGACTCTCGACAGAAGTTGCAGATGAGAATGTGTAGTTAGAGAAGGACTGAGGCCATTGTTGTGGCCCAAGTACACAATGTGAACCTGCAAGGCAACAGAAATACAGAATACAAAATGTGAACGCATGATTTGATCAAAAGATAAAAAGGACTGAGAACTCTATGAAAAATAGTACTTCTGCATGAGATGCTGGAGTAGTTTGGACGGGATAAATTGCAAAGGAAAGAGAGAAAACAACAAGCAGCAGCAGAAAAACTGCCATTGTCTTTACACGATGGCTTTACTGGAATGGCAGGGGTATATATAGGGAGATAGACAAAGGACATAGCATATCATTCTGTGGGGCATGTGTTATTGCCGTGCTGTAGGGTGCTTGCAAGACAAGCTTTGCAAAGCTACAATTGGCTCTGACAGCCCTCCATGGCTGCATCATGCCCACTGCCTTATTCATCTAGTGATCTAGTCCATAGATCACTGATGCGATGATTAGGCCTATTGAGTTAAGTACAGAGTCTAGCTACTGTACAGTGTGTAAGATAACTAACAGACCTAAGCTGATTCGTAGCAACCTAACCTTCTCACCCTCGTGTTTTAATCATCTGATCTAATGTTTTTGTTTACTTCCTACACAAAAGAGGCAAGATCCAGCTAGAGTCTATAGTCAAGTCTGAATGTTGTAGCTTTTGAAATTCTCTAAAGGCTAACCTCAAGCTTTTAGTTTAACTAACTAAAAGGCTAAGCTCCAAGGCTAAAGGTCCAGACTTCAAAAGAATCAAAGGTATGGGCAAGTGTTGAGTTATGAAGATAACATATATGCTCATATGATTATACCTTCAGGAATCAGGATCCAATTTAGCGACAAGACAAACATTACACCTAACATACAGGTTATAGCAAACTGCAGTGACTATACTTCTGTAAAACAAAAAGAAAAAAGAAAAAAACACAGTGACTACTCAGCAGTGTTCCATGAAATTAAGGGCTTTTCTTGTCTCTTGCCAATCATGTTTAAGCAACAGTAGGATTCAAAAAAAGTGAAAGCTTATGTGGTAAAACAGGAAAGTTTACTGTACATGTTGCTGCTGGTAACCATCAGACTCCGTGCAAGCATTATGCATCTGCTGAATCAAAAGCAATGAAATCTCAGAAATAATGAACACCCGTGGCTTACAGGAACCACTAATACTTAGTCAGCATGGACCGTGTTTCTTTAATTATGGTTTGATCCTTCATGCGGCCTAATTTGTAGTCATTCAACCTTAATATCAGCTTATATATTTCAGCAGCTTGTAACCTGCCTGACTTATAAAAAAAAGGTTGAGTGGTGCATCTAGCATGCGCCATACTCAGTAAACCTCCCATCCAGAGTATGTCTTGCATACGGCTTTGTCAGATCTTAAAAAAGAAAGGGGCTATGTCTTGCATACAATCAACAAGAATGCTCATAGAGCAACACTTTTTTCCCATTGTGTGCTGACTTGTAACAATGATTAACATAATATTTAAGGGGTATAAGTGAGCTGAAACAGACCCTTATACACGTCATTATGGTTCACAAGAGTATGAAAGTCAGAATTACAAAAGAGATGCAAGCAAAAAAAGGAAACCTGAGTTTACTATGTATCAATAAAACACAGATAAAAACCATATCCGGAGGCAACTATTCAGTGTCATTGCAGGTAAAAAAAAAAAAGCATCAAACATACAGTATGAGTCTTAACAAACACACCCTTGGCGTGAGTTTGGTTCATCATATTTGTTCACTTCACCAAAAAGATCTGCCAGCATGCTTCACCGACCGTCAATCTTTTCATCTTTTAGATGCATTATTACATGAAATTTGCATCATTCGATGCAACATAGGAAAAAAGAATGGTTCCCACATGTGTTTGGTTATCCATGTTGACATGTTCAATGGCTGCATCATATCCATACATGTCAATTATGGTCAATCCAACTGAAGGAATACCTGTGCACCCTCCAAGGCTCCATATACAAAATGTTCTTTTGGCTTCATGGGAGGCACAGAACAATAACAAAGCAGATACATCTGAGGATGGATTGATAATGGCAAATGTACCTTTTGTGGAGTTCCTGAAGACCAAACAGACAATTATACTGCCTTATATGCCCCCACAAGGATTTGCATGGCATGGTGTTACGCAAGTTTCCGTTCATGGTTGCATGAATACCAAACAGGCAACAACACCTCCTTATCTGCTGCAAAAGGATTCCCAGTACACAAAATTTTCCTTTTATGACAACATGAACTCCTTAGTTCTTTTAAACTGTCTTTTGGAACCCATCATGAAGCAGAGCATTGTTGCCAAAATAAGGCACCCGTTGGATGATATTGCAGTATGTATTTTGTCTACTGCAAAATATAGAGATGGAGCACTGTTCTGCTTGTGTATGTGTTTTCACACATAATCAGGATGATAGCATGATCCTTGGTAGCATTTGGTTTCCCTGAACATGCTAGATTTATCTATCCAAAAGCCTTCTGAAACAGACTTGTCAAAGTTCTACACAGGATATCATAATGGATAAACACAAAGGGGAATATAATTTGGAGTTTTCCTCAAAATGTTTTGAGTTTTGACTATGATATAAGAAAAATACAGAACTTTGGTTAATGATAAACATATGACTGTCACAAGTTTTGTAAACCATTAGACTGAAATGTTCAAGATAAGCAGACAGTAAGATTCTATACAACCCTACAGAACCACAGATCAACATAACGGTTTTTCAAGTCGATGGACATTGTGTATTTCAGAAAGTAAACTCTCCTGAATTCGATATTTCAGATGAAAGCCTACAAACTATTACCTTTTGAGGAAAGGGGGAAAAGTCAACTGAACATGTTTTGGCGCTTGACCATGCACATATTTTCTTTGAGAATAAACAAGAGAGTCGCACGTGTTTCTTTGAGAATAAACATGTTTTGGCACTTGACCCTGAACATGGAAGAAAATAAGTATTTACAGATCCAATCAGAAAAAAATCTCGCCAACCCTTCTTTCTTGGTCTCAACGAAATAGTTTATGTTCAGGCAGGCTCCTTGCCCCAGCTGGTCCCTAAAAAATAAAATAAGCAACCAACAGAAACTAGAGAGAGAGGTGCTATTATCAGACCAACCCAGAAGCTAACCAACAGAGACTACAAACTACACTGCAATCAACCCCTTAAATCTTGCTGCTATAATTTGTATTAACCAACAGATCTGTAAGTCATGATCTGTTAAGCTGGCTTCAGAGGGCTAGAGATTGTTGTTTATGAGTCAAACTTTTAACGTCTTGTAACCACTTTAATCTAAACTCTTATAACTACTGTGCTGATGCAATGCAACGGACATGGGGTGATGCCCTTGAATCATAAAAAAAAAATCAGCAGAACACCAAACTTGAAAACTAAGAGTGTGCCCGGAGCTTACAGGGTAGAAATCATTCACTGAAAATTGGATTCCATGTCAGTAAGTTGTCTAAACATCAACAGAAGGGATGTAGTAGGAGCAAAAAGGAAGAAGAATGCTGATCGAGGTCGGGTTGTGTTTACTTCGAGTGGCAACTGGCAAGTAGGTACAATCTGTTCTGTTTTGTGTGAGCAAGGGTGTTGTATGGGTTCTAACCTCTTCTCTTTTCTTCTCAATATAATGATGATACACAACTCTCCTGCGTGTTCAAGAAAAAAAGGAAGAAAAAATGATAAAGGCATGACCTAGGCTGTAAGGTTATAATCAGGATTCAGGACAACAAAAGGGAATACAGTACCATCAGAGCTCATACTAAACAACTAGAGCTAAATGAATAGGATTTTAATTCCCAAATGACAAGTTTCACAAACACTACTTGTGCAAGCTGCCTTGTAGGAGAATCTAGACAATGAGTTTTTCTAGTGCGGCCAACAAATGAAGTTACCTTTAGGGCTTTCTAGGATCAGACAACAAAAGGAAACCCAAGTGGAGCCTGTTTCTTTGACTTGTTACTATCAAAATGCAGGAGTAAAAAGAATGTGGCTTGTAAAGGCCTCAGGGTTTTAAGCAGGAAAAAAAAACCAAAGTGTGCTGTTTTGATAAAATGACAAAATACAGGCAAATTCTTCTAACCCATCAAAACATCGCCAAGTGTCATGAAACGGTATAGTCAATCTACTCAAATAGCTTGTCGGACTCAGGGTTCATGCAGCCATACAAAATCCAAATACAGGCTGAGTTTATATGTCAGACAGTCAGAGCTACTGATGCCGACGTAGTTAGGAAAAACATCAAATGGACAGCATGATAGATTTTACTAGCTGGATCTCACACACACAGTCCCATCACCGAGAATTTAAGCCCCCCTTTTTAGGCCATGGTGAACCCAAAACTGAGCGGCCTAAAGGTGTATATGCAAACCTAGCACTAACACCACGAAGTCTCACAAGCAATCAACCGAACGTGTGGTGATCGCACAAGGTTATCCCCAAGCATATTGTGCACACCAGTCGACACACTCATTTCTTTGCCAATATTACAGTTTGACAGGGAATGCAATGAGAAATTATTTATGTTCATGGAAACAAGTAGTTCACGCTATGCTGCTGAACCTCCAGGGGACATAAAGGCCAGCCACCTCCCCATGAAGATGCAGGATCACTAGCTACTGCTGAAACGGGATGTTTCTGCAACTATATCCCTCACATGTCAAAACAGCATAACTGTTACTGTCTCCAGTGATGGGCCCTTTGTGTTATAATTTGTTGCCCAGACGAAGCGCCATCCTAAACAATCCAAAGCCGTGCACCTTTATTGACCTTAATTAACGAGATCGACCAAACCTAAGCATGGCAATTGGCTAGGAAAAATATAGTGATGTTGACACGCCCAGCTTAGACAGAGGGGAAACATTTCAGACCAAATGCGGTGGGAAGGAACAGATGTAATGGTTGGTGGTGCCTGGTGGGTGCTGAACTTGGAAGACTGGCACCGGTCCAGGTCTCGCCCTCACTCCCAAGCCCACCAAGGCCTTGTTTAGATCATCTCCAAATTCCAAGTTTTTTCACTCTCTCTATATCACATTAATTTTTGGACGTATGCATGGAGCATTAAATGTAGATAAAAAAAATAAATAATTACACAGTTTGGTTGTAAATCACGAGACGGATCTTTTGAGCCTAGTTAAGAAGCAAATATAAAGTGAGTCGCCCAATATCAAACCCAAGCCACTGCAACGCCGACACAACTCACGAGGATTGCAACATTTCCCCTGGAGAAAATTCGTAGGAGGAAACTGGCTGCGTGATCCAGACATCCACTTGCCCAGCAGTAAAGGTTGTCATCATCACAGGGGAAAGAAAGCAAATTCCACGAGAAGATTAGAAAATTCCTTGGAGCAAGGAAATGGGGAGATATAATTAGTGCAGTGATTAGTCTCACCTGTGGCTACAGTTATTGGTTAGTGGGGGTGAGATGGGCACCACCACCACCGCCGTTCCACCAAGAAACCCCATCATTTCATATCCCTGAAAGATCAAGCAGATGGCGCTAGATGAGTGCATTCCTTGCAAGTCCCAACCACAGCCCAGAAAGCAAATCGGAAAGGAGTGAGGGCAAAGCAACCAAGGTCAAGGGCCTCAGCCCTCCTCAGGGCCAAGACAGTGGAATCTAGGATGATTGCAGGGGAGCCGTGAGAGACAGAGATAGCCACAACGGCAATCCCCATTGCCCCACTCAAACTCGAGTGCACCCTCGTCTTGGTGCTCTGGGGCCTTTACGTGATGTCTGGTCGCTGCATTTCCCATCCCCTTTTTCTTCTCCTCCACAAGCCAACCCCCAGAAATGCATAGAGGAAAATATAAATAAATGCAGAAAAAGAAAAATCTTCCATACGCTTCTTAAATGCAATATTTATGCCATCCATATAAGGATTGCATATAGAGGAAACGGACTACCACTACCAGCACTCAGCTGTTCCGTTTCTTTTCCACCTTGGCGTTTTGTTTCCATTCAATAGAGAAAGGGATGTTTCGTTTGAGGCTTTCCTTTGTGCTTGTGCCTTCTCTGTAGCTTTCAGGAGAATAAAAATTTGGACCTTCTCTCGCACCAGCGTTCTTCCTCCTTCCTTGGTTTCATGCTGACAACTAGGGCTGATCTTCAGGAGGGCCTGTTCTTGGTTTGGTTCCTGAGAGCGATTCATAGGTCTGGGATTATATATTGGTGTCGTTCTTGTTTTTTTGGTGCTCATCCGTTGCTAAATAAGCAAACCATCAACCCATCAGCTTTACTACAAGCACTCTTTTGCCTCCTTTTCTGTTCTTGGTGTTCTTGGTGAGACAGAGTACCAGACAGAGTTTCTTCTTTAGGATCCGTGCACTATGGGTAATTGCTGGTTTAAGGGGAATCCATACTTTAACAGGGTTTCTTCCAATGCAACCAAATCAGGTACCACTATTATATCTTTGGTTTGATCTCTGTGATTATGTAACTTCAACTGTAATATGCAAAAGTTTCAGATATTTATTTGATCCCCTCAATTTAGGCATTAATAAAACTGCTGCTTTTTTTTTTTTTGAGAGAGAGAGAGAATGTTCTCTCATCTTGATAGATGTTCCCTGCTCTTGTTTAATCTAATTACAGCTATTTCAGTACTGAATATTTTCTTCACAAAAAATCAGTCCTAATGTTTAATCTGATCCAATCCCATGATTCTTTTTTTCTAACCTTGACGGTTGATTTTATGGCTATTCCATGTAATGTTCAGATACTTTTGTTCTGCCATATGAAATCCTTGTTCATATTTTGGTAACTGATTTTACAAAGTTTCTGAATAATCTGCATCCTGTATTTCAGTCCCCATATTTGACTTGCCTATTTGTTTTCTGCAGAATCTCCCAAAATTCAGAGCCCATCGGAGAGAACTGAAAAGGAGGACTGCCAGCTACCATCCAACCCGAAAGAAGTGGAGGCGCTGCGAAAGGATACAGCCCGCAATCCTTTGATAGCATTCACATTTGAGGAGCTCAAGAGAATTACCAAAAATTTCAGGCAAGATTCATTACTAGGGGGTGGTGGATTTGGCAGAGTCTACAAAGGTTTCATCACCAAGGATCTCCGCGAAGGGTTAGAGATAGAAGAGCCCCTGAGAGTTGCTGTTAAGGTCCATGATGGTGACAATAGCTTCCAGGGCCATAGGGAGTGGCTGGTGATTAACCTACTATTTCTGAATATATAATGATAAAAGCATTTATTTCAGTTATTATCTTCATTTCTTTTTGGCATGCTTTTGCTTTGCTGTTTTCAGATATGAAGTTTTTGTCCATGTTTGCAGGCTGAGGTTATATTTCTTGGACAGCTCTCTCACCCAAATTTAGTGAAGTTGATCGGCTATTGTTGTGAAGATGACCACAGGGTTCTTGTTTATGAGTTCATGCCCCTAGGAAGTGTGGAGTCTCATTTGTTTTCAAGTAATTCTTATCCTATTTTTGACAGATTGTTATTCGGTTTTCTAAAGTTTCTTGACACCTTGTCATAACACTGACTAGGTTATATCCACACATGGCATTCGTGCAAATTCTCATACTCATAACTGGAAAGAATTAGCTGAAAACAAGCATAAACCTGTCCTTCACTCCTATCCTGAACTAGCGTTATTTAACTGCATCTCTGCACTGCATCGAGTGGCAGCATTATCAATTTCTGCATGACCTATGTGGTCAGTTATGCATTATTATTTGTTCATTTCAGATTAAGCAATGTATTTTATCATATCATTAAAGTATTTGTATTTATAATGCAGGGGTTATGGTGCCACTTCCATGGTCGACCAGAATGAAAATTGCTCTGGGTGCTGCAAAAGGACTTGCTTTTCTGCATGAAGCTGAGAAGCCAGTCATCTATAGGGACTTTAAGACATCAAACATATTGCTAGATGAGGTAACTTCTTTTTTTATGTTGTTACACTTGAATGCCAGTTGCTGTAAACTAAAATGCAGGAAACAAAGGAAAATTCACACGCAGTATGATACTGTCATTCATTTTGTTATGGGCATGGGACACAGTGGTTTCTTGCTTATCAGAATCTTCTTTGATACCCATAAAAACTACAGGAATACAATGCAAAACTATCTGACTTTGGGCTTGCAAAAGATGGACCAGTTGGCGATAAGTCCCATGTTTCAACTCGTATTATGGGTACCTACGGTTATGCTGCACCAGAGTACATTATGACAGGTAATGTGATCCTCACAGATCACACTGTGTATCTAAGTCAAGAGCAAGCTTAACTATTACGAAATGAGTTTCAAAATAAAAGATATGCTAGGTTCATGCAACTGCTTACTCAGGGCCTTGTGGTCATGACCTGAGACGGAACTTTACATAAGCAAGGGAATTGACACTGAATCTTTTAGAACTAGCTAGGCATCTGGTTCCAGAAATTCCAGATTTCCAGTACTAGACTGTAACCAATGTGTTGCTCTTTTTCAACTCCAGGGCATCTAACAGCGATGAGCGATGTCTACAGCTATGGTGTTGTACTACTGGAGCTCCTCACGGGCCGGAAGTCACTGGACAAGTCCCGACCAGTCAGGGAGCAGATGTTGGCAGACTGGGCATTCCCGTTGTTGACACAGAAGAAGAAGGTACTTGGCATAGTAGACCCAAGGCTTGCCGAGGACTACCCAGTAAAGGCAGTGCAGAAGACGGCGATGCTGGCATACCATTGCCTTAGCCGCAACCCAAAGGCTAGGCCGCTGATGCGTGACATCGTAGCAACTTTGGAGCCTCTTCAGCAGCTGGAGGAGACCCCTAGTGACAGTGTGGCGATGACACTTGAAGGCACTTGAAGTGGTCACTTCACAGTTCACGCACAGCTCAGGAAAACACAAGCGCCACGTACTTACTACATGCGTGTGATAATAGTAGCTAGCCAGTGTTCTTGATCTGCAGATGATTTCTTGATTGTTTAATTAATCCATGGAGACAGTAGTTTTGTTGAGCACAAAGTTAGTATATATCTCTAGGCAGGTTTAGGTGTGTATCCAGATCCAGCCCTGGCATGGCGATTTCCGACATTTCGGATGTGGGCAAGTCTGTGCAGTCTGCAATGTTTGTTGCCCACAAAGGAAGTTTGCTTACCAGTGTTTGTAACCTAGTAACTAGTATTGTGCAGCTCATGATATATGCATGTTGAGTAATGCAGATATATATGTTCCTGGGAGTCAAACAAAAACAACACGCTTTATTTCCTCTTTGTGAGTAAGGAGTTACAGGCTATAGTCGTTATTGGTTTTTGGGCTGTAATTGTATCACCACCATCACGTGATCTTTATCGTCATTTGGTTACTGAACCCCCACCCTCTTAGACCTGCCGGCGTTCGCCGAGAAGAGGACCCATCAAGAGCTTCCCCATGTGCAATAGCGGGTCATGATCAAAGCAGGGTCTACCGTTCAATGATGGATTGATGGCAAGACATACGAATATAGGACTGATCCTAGCCTGACAGGTTCGGCTTCGGGGCATAGTAACCAGCAATACGATTTTTCACTGGAGCAAAACAACAAACAGGTGCAGGGCGAGGGCGTGCATGATCCAAGTTCCAAATGACCTCACCTTCAGCTCAACGCTCCGAGCGGACGAGCACTCGTAGTCGTAGCCTCGTCGAGACGTCGCTCGTTGTCGTTGGCGTGCTCCGGCACGTCGAGCTGCGCCGCCTACGCCTTAGAAACACCGGGCACTTGTTGGACGGGCACCTCATCGCGCCGAGCTCTAGCCTCTGGGCCGAGCAGGCAGCGCGCGGGCCTGGCCCTGTCTGCCCTGCCGCCAGCCAGCAGCGGGAGCCGGGAGGTGGCACTGCCTACTGCAGCCTCTGTTTTCGTGGCACTGCGGAGGTCGGGCCGGTGTTAGGAATGGTTCGATTTCACAGGGTTTTTTTCGATTGTTGAGAAATTCATCATGTATATTTCCGTGCTTTCTCTTGTAGTTTTCAATTTTATATAGGCAAATAAGATAGTTTGTTATAGAACATTGTGCCACTCATGAATAATAAGAAAACTATAGGTCAATGTATTACTGCAACGGTTTCCAAAATTTTATCAAAAAAACATATTCAACTTATATAAATAGTTGACTAATTGCTTCGGATTTATAGTAAGTGACGTAAACGTAAATCCTTGTGGACACATTTTTCTTAGGGTCAGAGAAGTAGAGGACGACCTACTAGCTAGGCACGAGAGAGTTTAGACCAACCCAACACTGTCATGTTGTAGAGTAGCTACCCAAAATACAAAACCAATTCGTCTTTTAGATAATGTTACAGATAAATAGTTTAATACTTTTTTTTATCTTCTCCGACAATAAGATTCAAAAGACAACCCTTTCTATAAATGGTTTTTCAGAAAAGATGATACTCAGATTTAGGTTATGTCTCTCCCAACACCTAAAATAAGTTTTTCATATAGGTACTCTATTGAAAGTTACAGGTATTATTAGTTTTCATAATGGTGTCCCGTTGCAGAGGGGACGTCCCTGACGAGGGGAATTAAGCCCCCCTTTGGCAGGGCTTTTGTCGCGGCTCCTCGAGCGGCTTCGGGCGAAGCCCTGCCAAATGGCGACAGGCAAAACGGCTTGCGGCAAGAAGCCGACAAAAGCCCCGCAAAACCCGGTGACTCAGTTCCTCCCCACGCAAGAAGCCAAAAATATTGGCTTACCCCGGCTCGAGCTCGTCACTTTCCATCCCTGTCCCCGGCTTGCTCTCCTCCCCGACGCCAGCATGTGACTGGCCGCCCCCTATCTTGCCCTCGACCTTGAGCTCCGCCCACGGCTTCTCCATGCTCCACTCCGTCGGCCTCGAGCTCCGCCCCACCGCGGCTTCTCCGCCTCCGCGCCCCGCCACCGCCTCCTCTCCTCCTCCACCCTGGGTCTGCTGGCTCAGCTCCGCCCGCCGGCCTCGAGCTCAGCTCCGCCCCCATTGGCCTCCTGCGCGGTGGGCATGCCTGCGAGCCAGCCCTGGCGACCGACCTCTGCACGCCCGAGAGAGAGAGAGAGAGAGATGGATGGAGGGAGTGGGTGTCGATAGCTCCTTATCCGAACGCCCGAGAGAGAGAGAGAGAGATGGATGGAGTGAGGCCGTTCGGATAAGGAGAAGAAAAGAAGGGAGAAGGAAAGAAAAAGAAAGAAAAATGAAGAGAAAAAGAAAAAATATATAATGGTATTTTGGACATTTCACATCTTCTTTACACTAGGAGAAGCCGTTTTGCCAAACGTTTTCATACAAAATAAGCCAGAGTCAGAAAAAGTTGCTTTTTCCATACAAGCCAGAGCTATTTTTTCACGAGCCAGAGCTATGCCAAACTGGCCCTAAATCACTAGTGAGATGAAATTTGATTGGCTGCAAGCCTGCAAGAGGTGCAGTGCACAGCGCTAGCAAGATAGAACTAGCTAGTCCGCACGGTATTTAAAAAAATCTCTCTCACAGTCCTCTAGACCCTACGCCCTAATGTCCTTTTTTAATTTGTTGAAGCCCACGGTCGCTAGCGATTTCATCGAGGGCTTTGAGGACGCCCTTAGCCTCAAGGCCTCGTTCATCTACCCTTAAAATCAGCCGGAATTTACTGTTTATAGCTGAAAAATTATTCACTCTCTCACAAATTCCTTTAGATTCATCTAGATTTCTCTAAATTCCTCCCAAATTTCATCATGAACAGTGGTTTTGTAGAGTGACGAAGGAGCCTGCAAATGCAACCATTGCTTTATTTGACAAAATACTGAGACAATTACTCTAGCTTGCGATGTGAAAGAAATCTCTCATGGTTTGTAGTGGCGAAAAACAGGAGCAATTTTCTACAACGAGTACAAAATGATGGGACCAAAGAAGCAAAAGTGTCAATGAGGTTGTAAAAATTGGCTCCGTTCATTTCGCTGAAAAAACAAGCCAAAACATAGTTCCGGTTGATTTGTTATGAGAGAAAAACAATGTTCCGACTGAAAAAACAAGCGCACAGGGCCATTAATGATATCGAGTCTTTAACATCTATTGGATAGTAACTTTTGCTCAATACCACAAACTTTTAGACAGCGTTGGACATTTGTATTAAGAGTTAGAGTGGACAAACACTAACCAAGTCTCTAGCCCGTATTCCTTTTTTGTTTCAATTGTTTTGGAACCTTTATTTTGCATCCATGAAGGGAGGTAGTGCACGTTATTTAAAACTAACTAAAGTTAGCTGTTTTAGTCCATGTTGAGTGCTCTTCATAGCTTTTGAGTTTTGACTATCCATTAGATAGTTTTAGGATGTTTTTCGTGGCCATCAACTCTTCTATATCTAGAGCCAAACTCTGTTAAGACAATATATCATTGTTCGCCTAAAGGGGTTTTTTTAGCCTGTTTATTAAAATACTAGTACATGATAGTACACTATTTTTGTTTAATTTGGTTGTTTTGCTTGAATAATGGCTAAACGTGAGTGACCGATCATTCAACATTATACTTAGTAACCATCATATTCTGCAGCACTACTTCAATAGTACCTGTAGCTAACGAACAGTGTTTTTCTCTCACAATATTTCAGCATAAGCAGCAGCATAAACCAAATTTCAGCGAAACGAACAGGGCATGCCAAGCATGAAATGTAAGATAAAAAATGATTTATGGAGTAAGGTCCCTCACTAAAAATAGACACCTATAACCGTAAGCTATTCAAACGCATCACATTGCACATTTCATATATATATATATTTTATTTTTTCTCTCCTCAACAATTCTGCTTCTCTTTGTCTTCCCCAGCTGTGAAGCTAGGATGGTGTGGCCAATTCACTTGTCCTGTGCCACTACTCTGCCCCATGTTATAGGTAGCTCAGCTTCTCTCGTGCCGCCGATCGCGGACACCGGCCCTTTCTTCTACCATGCCACCGCCTTTCCCAACCTAGTGCCGCTAGCCTTGCTCGTCCTGCCATTGTATCCACAGGCTTTGCGTGATCGGCTTAGGGCTTCTTTTTATGTGTGATGACGTTTGGATCCATCGATAAAAAATCTCAAGCAAGGGCCATGAAAATCATGGTTGGAGCTCTTTTCCACCTTCTTGACTCATTTTTTTATCTAGACTAATGAGTAATGACAAACCACTCATTAGCGATGTTCTCTTTCCACATTCTCACCTACACATCGCCCAAAATCCGAAGTCAGCTTACGACTTAGACGCTTGTCGGGATACCCTAATCTAAGCGTGTTTCGATATGTTGACAAAATTCCTCGTGCGAGAGTTGTGAGATCATGGCCGGAGTTCTCTTTCGAGCTTCATCTCGTTTTCTGATTGAGCCTAGCAACAAACAACTCATCGATGGCGTTCTCTATCTACTGAGCCCCATCAAGCTTGGCTCCATGGAAACGAGAATCGTTTTCATTTTTTTTTGAGCTCGACAAACAATAACTTATATATCCATATCTACTATGTATTTATATAGTCAACTAAACAAATGTCAAATGGTACATATAACGGGTCTACCCCAGATCGGCCAGGCCCTAGGACCGAGCGAGGCTTCCTGATCATTGAAGATCTAAACGCAACGACACCCGAAGCCATGTGTAGCTAGTCGATCACACCCGAAGTACGCCTTTTAGTACCAATTACGTAAAGAGTTGTCTATCAACAACCGAGTGCAGAGCACCCGATTTCTTTTACTGTTCTTCTTCCTCCTCGCCCCTGCCGCCACCCACCGCCCCGCTATGGCCTCCTCCTCCCTCTCTCTCCCTCCTTCCGCGGCAAGCTCTAGCCATGGGGACCCCGCGCCACCTCAGCCAGGACCCGAACGCCGTCTAGCCGTCGTTACCACCGTTTGGTCGGCCTGCCTGCCCCGATTTTCTTTATAGGACTGCCAAGAAGGGGAGAGACACGGAATTTAGAAAAAAAAAATGAGAGGGGTGGAATCAAGTATGGAAAGACAGATAAACACACACACACAGCTTCCATCGCGATCATGTCTCTCTAAGCGATGAAGAACCCTAACCCTCCTCCTTCGCGGCCCTCCGCCGCAGGCAAGCCCCCCGCTGGCATGGCGCCGGCCCGCAAATCTCGCTGGGGCCCACCGCCACCGGGCGCTGCCGGCGCCGCCCCGGCCGGGGACAAGGCCGCGCCATCCACCTCCGCCCGCACCCCGACCCCCACCCGCACAGCGGACTCCAGGCGCCATCCGGGGCCCCCTACCGCGCCAGCACCACACGCCCGCAACCCCGCGTCGCCGGCAGCCGCGCTCCGGCCGCAGTCTCAGCTGCAGCCAGCGGCGGAGACTCCTCCCCCGCAGCCGTACGGCTTCCACAACCTCGACCGCCGCACCATGCTCCTCGCCGACGGCACCGTCCGCACCTACTTCGCCCTGCCCCCTGACTACCCCTTCGAGCCGGCGCCCCTGCCACCCCTCCCACACCACCTCCTCCCCCGCGCCGCCCCGGACCTCTGGCCGCCGCATCAGGCGCCGCCGCCGCAGATGCCCATGCCTGTGCAGATGCCGCCGCACGAGGCTAGGCGCAAACACCCCGCCGACCAGGACGAGGGCTTCCCGAGGCACCCCAAGCAGCCGCGGCTCGACGGGCCGCATCAACCGCCGCCACATGCAGCGGTGGACCGGCACGTGCTCAGGAGGGCGTTCCTCAAGTACGCCAAGATGCTCAACGAGAGCTCCGTGCAGAGGCGGAGCTATCTCGAGGGCGGCCGTGTCCCGTGTCTCGCCTGTGGCAGGTTTGGCGATCCCACACTGTTTGCTGCCTTCTTCCTGGCAAGCTTTCTAGTATCATTTGTAGTCAAGTTCCTGTGTTGGTTTCTTGCTATTGTTGAGCTGGCTCTTACTCTGACTTGATACGACTTGTTTTTCAGCTGTGATCTACAGTTAAACTGGCACTATATGTTATGTCTATGTCTGGCTGGAGAAACCCACCAAACAGTATCTCCTTATTGTTATGATCTAGTTGAACTGGAACTAACTATGTTATGTCTATGTCTGGGTGGAGAAATCCACCGAGCAGCTATCTCTTTACTGAAAAATTGCCGCCAATAGGTCTTTCTTTAGTATATCATGCGGCTTAATTGGTATGCATTTTTTAAAGGCAGAGTTCCGTGTTGGTTATGGACTAACAGATATCAGTTAGCAGTACTAGGAATGAGTTAGATATCAGATAGCAGTACTAGACTACTAGGAATGTCGAGGTTGCTTAGTTTTATCTGGTACTGGTGTTGCAGTTGCTAGGTATGTCTAGCAACAGATTTTCTGCCTTTTGCTACTTGGTATAATGCCATCATTGCTCCAAGGATTACTTTGAGTTATTTGAGGTTTTTGTTTTCCATCGTAAGAGTAATGATATATCCATTCTAGTGAACCATATATCTATCACCGGCGCTTATTGCATGTCTTTTGATTTTGTAATGTATAAGCTTACTCTGTACATATTTTTTCTTATGTCTATTTCCTACCTATTGAAGATTGAATTACGTCTGATTACCCATCAAAGATTGAATTAAAGTGGCACTTTTGTGATCAGAAGTCTACCTAGAAGTATAGAACCGCAGTGGTTTCATCCTGCCTTTGACATCTAGTAGGAAACTGCAAGTTTTTAATAAGAGCCGCATTGATGTGTGAGGTTATCTGAGTACAGATTTCTGAAAATATATATAATATGCATATCCTGCTTTAATTCTTGCTGAGTTCTTATATGTGGTGGCATGGACAGATCTGGTAGATCTGCCACTAATATCCTTGTTCACTGATTGCTTGGCTGCAATTGTGTGCTTGTGAATGTTTATTTGATCTTGTTACAGCTCTTATTTTTGTATGTTTAGTTTATTATTGAGGTTGTGCTATGTGTTTTTCAAATTTTCATGGTTAATTTCACTCTCGCACTTCTATATTTTGTATTGCTGGCATGATTTATGATCTGAATAATTTTCTTTCCCAACATATCTCAAGCTACTGTGCTTCAGATGGTGCTATCATATAGTACATAGCACACTTGTGTATTTTGAGTGTCAAATACTTTGTGCACCATTAATGTTTGGGCCATTTTTGTTCTTAGTTTCTAGACAAATATACGAGCTGTGTTGGTTTCATTTTTGTGCTTGTTTGTAGTCTGTTTGGTTGCCTGTACAAGGCTTGAGCCTGTCCCACAGGATGCAAAAGAGCTCCCTTAGCCTGCCACTCGGGAAACGAGTTTCATTTCCGTTTCCCGTGGGCCCGGATCGCTGGATGCGATGTGGCTCCCAGCTAATGATATGATTAGTACACAATCAGTATATATTAATGACATTAGTGACTTCAAGAGCTAATTAAGGCTTAATAAGGAAAACTAAGACTTCTACACCCTGTTCGCTTGATCGTATCAGCCATGATACAGTTTTTTTCTCTCACAACAAAACAACATCAGCCGGCTTATAAGCCACAGAAACGATCAAGCGAACATGGTGCTAAATCTTGTTAGGCAGGCATTAGTGACCGCATGGAAACCGAACGGTTGGCTGCAACTGGGCACTAGCATTTTCTTGGCGATGTGCTGAGTAGCAACCACATGCATGTATATGCATGCATGCAATGAGTGAATGAAGTGAATCAGGAATCCAACACAGGACTTCGACCTGGCAAATATGAGCTCACAATCCTGCGCCGTTTAATACCCCTCCTCGGTATCCAGTGTTTCCTTGATATCTAGAATTTGAGCCCCTGCGCCTCAGAAATGGTACTGGAGGGAGTAATTACTTTTGCCTTACACATTTTATCCAAACACTGCCTGGATGGACAAATACGAGCAACCAAACAAAGCGACCTTGTATGGCCCTGTTTGGGATCACGTATCTCGCGGTGGTGGTCGAAGGAAGCCTAGAATCCCGCCAAACGGAAACGCCGCGCGATACCTTTTGATTTTTCTCACTGCATCTGACTCAACCACCGTGAAAATGAACTACGAACCCAATTTTACGTATCGTGGCTCCCTCACCATTGCTCGTCTACCGCACTGTGCGGTGGGAGACCGCAGTCCCAAACAGGGCCTATGAGTCCAGCCTGGCTTAAATGAGCCTGGCTCAGCTCATACGTGGCAGGCTAAGGTGTATACAAGTAACCAAAAAGGCTATTGATGTCCCAAGTGCCTTATCAGTAGTATCTAAAGTATCTGGATATTTGAAACAAGCCAGTCCTTGAGGTATTGTGGTTGTTTGGGATGCTAGAGGCATAGCTTTATATGTTTTTTTAATTGTTTCCTGAAATTGTTCTGCTTCATTTCCTTTTATTGTTTGTCATATCTTTTATTATTCGTCCATTTTGCATGATGCTATACGTTATTAAACTTGTTCTGTGGCTGGCATAGTAACTGCAATATTCCTGATTGAGCTTGTATTGCTGATAAGGCCTGCGATTGCTTCTAGGATTAACTTTTACTATTCTAGTACTCATACTTAACCCCCATGAGGAGGATACCCCTGCTGACATCATGCCCTTCTGCTTGTATTTGGCCTAAACTGCACACAGTGCGTGGCCACTATGCCTGGTTGAGATAAGCAGCCTGTGTCAGGTCTTCTCTGCCCCGCTCAATCTGCACGGTTGTGCTTGCACTGTGCTGTGTGCAACTAAATTGTGCAATGTTGGGATTGTGAGGAGTGGGTGAGTAGCTATACTTGAGAACGATGAGTAGGACAGCTGGATTGCACTCATGATAGCGTTGTTAGTGAATACATCTAGGGAAGCTGAGAGGATAAAGATAACGAGGAGTCACGACAATAAATGCATGAAAGAGGATGGAAGTTATTGGATATTAGAATGAAATTTTGTTAGAAGGTAATTCATTTGTCGGGGAGTTTTTTCTCCCTCTTTTTTGTTGGAGGTTTTTGAGGGAGGTGTGAGGACATGACATACCATCATTGTATCATTGGAGTAAAGGTACATCAAGCTGGCATCTATAAACCACGATATGTCCAGATTGTTGAAGTTTGGTCAAATCTTTCAATCTGTTGGAATAAGTGAATCCTGAAATAAAAATAAATTCTTTGTGCAGAGGCCAAAATGTATTATACAGTCTTGCGGTGAACTAGATGTTTACAAAAATTTCAACAGACATAGGAAATTGTTAGTCGGCGAATTTTGAAATATGATATTTGAGCTAGGTTCGCACTCTGTATGAAATGTCCTTCCTTTTTAAAAAAGGACACGATATCCACTGGAACCTCCCTTCTACAGCCGCAGCCATTTTTTTCCCCCTTAAATGTCTGCCTGCGTCTTGAAAACATAGTTGACTATGCAGCTGCTGCCTAAGTGCCTAACTGGATGAGAGAAACCAATTGCTTCCTGATGCGACAGTGGGATCCATATGTTTTACCTAAAGTTTTTGGCAGTTCATGTTTTGATTCAACTTTTCAATAGCTGTTACTGTACAGCTAATAGAATTTGATTTGGAAGCAAGTACTCAAGCCTAGGCGCAGACCTCATAAAACTACTTGTTATCCATTACCATATTTTCCAGCGGGAGCTTATAACCATTCCTTATTGATGTATAGTGGAACTGTGGACGATCCATGACATGTCCCTCTAGGCTGCCTCATTCCATACGATCTTCAGAGCACCAGAGCTATCAACAAACTTATAATACATCATTTCACCAATGACTGAATATGTATAAAATTGTTTTTTCTCTTGACAGTTGCTTCTTTGCCATAGGATCCTATCTTACTTTTTAGTCATGATATTCTTTGGGGATTTGCCTGTTTAGATCCCCTCTCATTTCTCGATCCTATTACACTGTATTTGTAATGAACTGTGTTTAGCTCGCTAGTTTCCAGCTGCTACTCGTTGGATCTTAATTTATTTGTGATCAAGTCTGGTCAATGTGCACTATTCCAGGTCTTCTAAGGACTTTGCTGATGTCCGTGGACTTGTCATGCATGCTTACAACCCACCAAATGCAGATTCACTTGTTGATCATCTTGGTTTGCACAAGGCATTGTGTGTCCTTATGGGATGGGATTATACAAAAGTCCCTGAGAACTCTAAGGGCTACCAATCATTACCTTCTGACCTTGTCCAAGCAAGTAGGGAGGACCTCATCGTATGGCCGCCTACTGTTATCATTCACAATACTTCGACTGGGAGGAAGAAAGATGGTCGCTTTGAGGGTTTAGGGAACAAAGAAATGGATAAGAAAATGACAGGTATATTTATATCACAACCTTTAAGTTAATGCAGTGTTTGCATACAAGCGCCTGTAGCATATATATGCTTTATACAACACTCAATATATTTTTATTAACATGGTATGGCAATTTGCTTACTGCTGTTAAGCAAAGACAGGATTCTGCTTTTTTTTCTTTTTGGTTTCTTGCTGGGTTGTAGAGCTGCTCTTCCTTTGCTGATTGGACGTAGTGCCAACTGCGGAACTGCCAAGGCAATACTCATGAGTTGTTATGCTGGGTACATTAGTCCAGGACAGCCATCTCATAGGTTGCCTCATGCATTGCCATTTAGGGTTTTAGGTGAAGTTGAGGAGAGGAAGGGAAGTGAGGGAAGACGCTGTTATCTTATGATACAACTACCTCGTAAGCTAAATTAGCGCTGCAAGACGACTCACATATTTTCCTTCCACTGACCCACAAATTAAGGGGACATAGAGTTGCTATGAGGCAACTAAAAGACAACCTAATTGTAGGGGCTGCCAATTAAGTTTCAGGATTACGTGGAGGCTATGAGGATTACCTGGTAATTTGTTCGTTCAGCTTGACCTTAGGAAGAGCTGTGCTGTGGTTGTTGGGTACCACTACTCTCCAGGGTTTTGTTAGGCTACAGTTAGTAGTTCATCCAATGCTTGATTGGATGCTTTCTGTTGAATTTGCAGTCAAATAAATGCAACTAATGCTTAGGCTACTGCACAGACAGTAAGTAATTGCAGTTTCTATGCAACAGTAGTTTGCTGGATCTATCTTTGTTACATGAACATGAGGCATGTATCATCCTGACCTCAAGGGTTCAATTATGTCCTGTCTTGTCAGTGTGGCGGCCATATGATTGATCTACTTCAAGCAGATTTATTTGCTCCCGTTGGTCGGATACTCAGATATGAAAAATGACATTTCTCTGTCCAATGTTTTGTGATGCCACCTTTCTGGTTAAGGAAGAACTGTAGCATCATTGTGGGGTTCATTTTCATTGCTTAACTAAACTATCTAATGTAAGCAAGCAATTCAGTCTTTAGCTTGTTCAAGGCTGCAAGTTAGAATTAAGCCATATTTGGAGCAAAGAAATAAAATCACTCAAAGAAATACCATCCCTGTTTATGAAACATTGCCTCTGCTAAGCACATGTTTTTGGAGTAATGCCATATATATCACAGTAATATTTGCTGTGTCAATCTCGTATCTTTGTTTTCAGAACTAGGGTTTTCTGGTGGGAAGTCGAAGTCCTTGTATGGAAAAGAAGGACACATGGGTTTGACACTGATCAAGTTTGCAAACAACCCATCTGGCTTGAAGGAGGCTGAGCGTCTTGCTGAGTTCCTTGAGAGGCAAGATCGTGGACGTATAGGTTGGTCACGTGCTCATGCCAGTCGTTCTGTAGATTCTGATCAGAACCCTTTGTTGGTTGAGACGGATATCAGGACAGCTGAGAAAAAGAGGATACTTTACGGTTACCTAGCAATTGCATCTGATCTGGATGAACTAGACTCAGATTCTAGAAAAAGGGCTTTCCTCAAGAGCAGAAGAGAATTTGATCCAAACGAATGATGTCTTGCCATAAAGCCCACCTCCATCAGTTTATATAATTTGCACCGAGAGCGTGCATACCTATCTCTGATCCCAATTTATAGATTCATGCTGCTGCTGTGGACAAAAGATGTTAACCTTGAATATAATATCTGCAGCTAGTTGAGTTATACCCCCTACTGGAAGCTGTATTTGCACTAGGTGTACTTTCTTGCAAGCGTCAGCTCATGGTTTGACTGGTTATTTGGAAGAGATCTGTCTTCATATTTGAGTATCATTCATTGCATGATTGATTTCTCTCCATTTGGAGGTGTGATGTTGCATAGACTTCCTGATTGGTGATCTTTTTCTATATTATAGCTTTACCTTTCTTTCTTGACTTGCCAATTGCCATGAAGATTTAAATTTCTGTTAAGAAGGTACTCGCTACATATTCCTTGGCACTTTTGAATACGTCTGGTTCTTTGAATGTCGGAGTATACTGTTGCAATAGGTTGGTGCCACTCTTTTGGGCATTCGTGCTGTTTGTATTGTTATTATGTAAGAGGGTGTAATATTCAGAAATCCTAGTGTGAATTTGTGTGGAAGTAGAAGATGGCAAAGCTATTTAAATGCTAATTAGTATTATGTTTTTTACTCGGATATTAGTTTGGCCTAAACCGTGACTTGGGGCTCTTGCTTGGGACTGAAAGGCTATGTTGTTGTACTCAGATATTAGTTTGAGTCCTTGTTTGCCTATGGGCAATCTGGTACCATAACTTCCATTTGTTCGGAGGTTAAAGCAGACAAGTCGTGCATGCCCGAGAAACCATATTTATGTCTTCAAATTTCATAATTTGTAGTGGAACACATATTTAGGTTCTGTTTGCAATATTTAGGCTCAGAATGGATATCAGATGAAGTGATGCTCTGGTAACAGTTAGATCTCAAATGACCTTTGTCTTGATGTGATAATGTGTAGACCAGATGTATGACAAAGGAAATGAATAGCTTAAATGCTGGTGTTTGTTCTGACAGTATTACTTTAGGCCGCGTTCCAGCTGCGGCTGGGCTGGCCAGCGCTCTCACAGTGGCACTGTTCACGCGAACAATGTTTCCAGACAGAATAGTATTTTTCTCTCGCAACAATTAGCCGAAATAGTATTTTGGCTTATTTTTCAGTCCTGCCGAACATGCCCTTAAATGTGGATTTGCACTATAGATCTTCCCTGTGTTATCAATAACTATTTTCTGACCCAATAAGGTACTTGTCATCTAATTTGATATTTATGTGACCCAAACACCTCTAAATTGGATGGATATTAGATATAAGTGATGTAGAGGTCCAATTACAATTAGACCTGAAATTTTTTGATCCTGTAAAGTACTTGTTATCTAATTTGCTGTTTCTGTGACCCAAACACCTCTAAATTAGATGGATATTAGATATAAGTGATGTAGAGGTTCAATTACAATTAGACCTGAAATTTTCTGACCCAGTAAGGTACTTGTTATCAAATTTGTTGTTTCTGTGAATCAAACACCTCTAAATTGGATGGATATTATAGATATGAGTGATGTAGAGGTCCAATTACAATCAGACCTGAAAAGGTTTTCTTGTAGCGACACTGTAGACTTGACCTGATATATAACAGAAAACTTAAAGCTTAAAGTCTTAAATGCTGGTGTTGTGACCTGTGGATTTGCCCAATAGATCTCCCCAATATTATCATTAACTCAGTCATCTAATTTGCTGTATCTGTAATCCAAACTCCTCTTCATTGGATGGATAGTAGATGTATGCAGAGGTTCAGTTAGATCTCAACCGGTCTTAGTTTTAAAAGTTATAATGTATTGACAAGATGCCGGTGTGTGTTCTGAATATAGATGTGGATTTGCTCTATAGACTTTCCCTATGTTATCATCAACTATTCTACGATCCAGTAAATATACTTATGTCGGTGCAGAAAATGACCAACACGTAAATATTTGTAGTTTTACCGTACGTTTTGATCGGAGGTGGCCTAGCACTCAATGACACATGGTTTATACTGGTTCAGGCAACGTGCCCTACGTCTAGTTTGAGTCGGTCGATGATTTTATTCCTGAGCCCAGGTGTTCGAAGTTTGCGGTGGGGTTACAAACGAGAAAGAGAAAGATGGGATTTACGAGAGGTCTGGTCGGACTCCGGTCAGAAGGGCCGAGAGTGACAGGAGCTCCGCTACGAGCTAAGTGTTCAAGCGCGTGCTTGAGGTCCGAATCAGCGGTTCTGTGGTTGTGAGGTAGTTAACTTGGTTGATCTAATGAATCTGGGGTGGCTTAGAGAGCCTAGATTGACCCTTTTTTTGAATTGCCCTGTGTTGGAGGGAGCGTATCCCTTTTATAAATGAAGGAGGTGGCTTTACAAGTGAGAGGGAGATGGTACGTACGCTACTGAGCCTTGTTACCCACGCCAATGGGTACAAGATAATGGTAGGTGCCCACAACACTGTAGACGTTACTGTTGAGTGTCAGATGCATGAGGGAGGTGGTGTTGTCTTCTTCGGGTATGGCAGACGTCGGTACCTGCATATATTGTTAATGCCTAGAGGCATATGAGGAGTTTCACTAGGTTCACCTGGTACGGTAAATTCTGGCGCCCACAACACTATCGATGCCCAGAGGCATGTGGGGGGTCTTACCGTATGGGAGTTAACGACGTCCACAATACTGTAGAGAAAGATGTCGGCGCCTATAATACTGTTTGTGTCAGGGCGGTTGCAGATCACTATTCCTACAGGTGACAGGGTATGGTCCCTGGTATCATGGTTTGACTTGAGCGCCTTGCTTTGCTTTCTCCGTTTGTTCCCTGGTCCTTTCCGGGCGGGCGTCTCCGGTCGGTTGGTCCCAGTCGGCTCTGGTTGCGTCAGTCGGAGAAGAGCAGTGAGCAGGGTCTTTGCATACACCGGTCGGAGACACGGGATCGGAGTTGGAGGTAGTGCTTTGCCAGGCCTTCCGGTCGGAGAGACCGTCCGGAGGTGGCTGGAGACCGAAGTGAGCGCCCCGGTTGGAGAGGTGGGTCGGAGTCGACAAGCGGATGCTGTTCCTCCTTGGCTAGACCTTTCGGTCGATGACTGGACCGCTCTTTTGGCCTGTTGTTTAGATACTTGGGCCGGCCCATGAGTTGCGCGCTGTCTGCTTGGGCCGAGCCTTTTATGGGAAGCCGGTCCGCGAGGGACCTCGGTTGATGAACCCGATAGACGCCTCGAGCCCTGGACGGTTCGGATAGAACCCTGCCTGGTTTTTTTTTTTTCGGTCGGGAGGTTTTTGTTTGTGTGGGTGAGTGCGAGCGCACTCCGCCGGTGTAGTCTTCCCGAGCCCCGGCGATTCGGCGTAATCGCCTAGGGGTGTTTTTTAACGGGCGTGTGTGCGTGTTTTTTAGTCGAGACGGAGTTGTTAACCAAGGCATCGTTGTGCAGCCGAGACGGTTAGTTGTTTTTAGGGATCGGGTGAGACAGAGCTCACGGATTCTAGCGTTGATGCGCGCCGTGGGGTCAGACGAGGTAGTTAGTCTTTTCTAGGGATCGGACGAGACAGAGCTCGTGGATCCTGGCGTCGGTGCGCGCCGTGGGATCAGGCGAGTCGGAGTCGTGGATCCTGGCCTTGGTGCGGCCCATGCAACTGAGGCAGTTAGTTTAGTTAGTTTGGGATCGGGCGAGCTGGAGCTCGTAGATCCTGATGAGGCGAGTTCGGGGTCGCAGACCCTGGTGTTTTGGAGCGCAGTTGGATGGGGCGAGTTCGGGGTCACAGATCCGGGTGTTTTGGAGCGTAGTCGGAGCGTAGCCGGATGGGGCGAGTTCGGGGGTCGCAGACCCAGGCGTTTTGTGTCTTGAGCCCCCGAGCCCTGTCGGGCTTTAGTAGGGGTCGGTGTGAGTTTGTGTGCGTTACCCCGTCCTCGGTTACTCATAACCGGAGGGGCTGAGTTTTGTCGCTTGTCCCGATCGCTCGGGCTCGAGTGACGCGCTCGGTGAGTTCGCTAACGGGTATGATCGAGTGGAATCTGGGTCCATCGTTCGTGATGGGGTCGGCATAGCCCTCTTTGTGACATTCCACTGCTCCTTTACCTACAACCCGGCAGATGCCTAGGTCGTTCCGGAGACCGACCCGGGTGGCCTAATGGCCTCCCCTCGATGGGGATTCTGTGGGCTTGGCAAGAGGTTCAGGATCGAACGAGAAGGTTGAGATGACCCTGTCTGCCAGACTGGGCGAGGGCCGCACGGGGCTCATCTACGTTTTTCTCCCCTGGCTCTGTTGGTTGCTCATGTCGAATGAGGCAACCGACGCTTCATGACGCAACACGGAGCATTGTGATGCATCTCGTTGCACGTGCGATGCTTAGTTCCCGAGCCCCTAGGCGGTTCAGGGCCCGAATCATCCGGGAGGCACGGGCGTATGGAATGAATGCGCGTATGGATGTATGAAATGATTATAAAGAAATAGAGAGGGTCGGTAGTGTTACCTTGATGATTCGAGTGACGGGGTTTGAAGAGCTCCAGTCGAAAATGTCCGATCAGGACCCGTGCTCGTCGTTCATGACGGAGTCGGCATGGCCTACATGGGGCATCCCTTTGCTCCTTACCTGTCGCTTGGTGTGTTTTTCTGAGCCGTTGGATCGACTTAGGAATCCCGACGGTCTCTCCTAGCGGAGATCTCGTTTTGGTTTTTTTCTAAGTCCTGCCTGGGGATGCGGAGAGACGCCTGTGTGCGGTGGCGCTTTGGTTTTTGTGCCCGGCGTGTGGTAGTGGCTGGCGTGCGGTAGTGGTGGGCCATACCCAGACCACGTCCCGTCTGATCAGGAGTCGTTTCGTCGGGCAGGGCACGTCTCATCGGTCAGGGCGCGTCTCATCTGCATTAAATGAGAAAGAGAGGGTTTTTCGCTCTGCTGTTTCATCTTTTCCGATCGGCGCGCCCTCCCCTAACTGTTGTACCCTTTTCCTTAAGTAGGAGAAGGGAGAAGGTTTTCGCCCTGTCCTTTCGTCTTTTCCTCATCTGCCGCCTCCTTT